CTCCTGCACAAGCAGAAGCAAGAGAATTTATTAATTATCTTTTTCTCTGCCCAGAATAGCAGGCAGGAAGCCCCCCCAGAATAGCAGGAAACCCCCCCCGATTAACAGGGTCCGGCCCGGGACCAGGGATTTGCAGGCCCTTGGCTTTGACCTAGAAAGCCCGAAGCTTTGAGATGGAAGGGTCAGAGATCCCTGGCCTTGGGATCCCTGGGATTTGGGTGATATCTTCTGCTGCCAGAAACAGGTGGTTCCCTAATTAAACCGTATATAAAAAGAATAGGTTTGTCAAGTTTTCCAAGGCTACCCCTTTGCAGGCCCCGCCCCCCCCAGAATAGCAGGAAACCCCCCCCGATTAACAGGGTCCGGCCCGGGACCAGGGATTTGCAGGCCCTTGGCTTTGTCCTAGAAAGCCCGAAGCTTTGAGATGGAAGGGTCAGAGATCCCTGGCCTTGGGATCCCTGGGATTTGGGTGATATCTTCTGCTGCCAGAAACAGGTGGTTCCCTAATTAAACCGTATATAAAAAGAATAGGTTTGTCAAGTTTTCCAAGGCTACCCCTTTGCAGGCCCCGCCCCCCCCAGAATAGCAGGAAACCCCCCCCGATTAACAGGGTCCGGCCCGGGACCAGGGATTTGCAGGCCCTTGGCTTTGTCCTAGAAAGCCCGAAGCTTTGAGATGGAAGGGTCAGAGATCCCTGGCCTTGGGATCCCTGGGATTTGGGTGATATCTTCTGCTGCCAGAAACAGGTGGTTCCCTAATTAAACCGTATATAAAAAGAATAGGTTTGTCAAGTTTTCCAAGGCTACCCCTTTGCAGGCCCCGCCCCCCCCAGAATAGCAGGAAACCCCCCCCGATTAACAGGGTCCGGCCCGGGACCAGGGATTTGCAGGCCCTTGGCTTTGACCTAGAAAGCCCGAAGCTTTGAGATGGAAGGGTCAGAGATCCCTGGCCTTGGGATCCCTGGGATTTGGGTGATATCTTCTGCTGCCAGAAACAGGTGGTTCCCTAATTAAACCGTATATAAAAAGAATAGGTTTGTCAAGTTTTCCAAGGCTACCCCTTTGCAGGCCCCGCCCCCCCCAGAATAGCAGGAAACCCCCCCCGATTAACAGGGTCCGGCCCGGGACCAGGGATTTGCAGGCCCTTGGCTTTGACCTAGAAAGCCCGAAGCTTTGAGATGGAAGGGTCAGAGATCCCTGGCCTTGGGATCCCTGGGATTTGGGTGATATCTTCTGCTGCCAGAAACAGGTGGTTCCCTAATTAAACCGTATATAAAAAGAATAGGTTTGTCAAGTTTTCCAAGGCTACCCCTTTGCAGGCCCCGCCCCCCCCAGAATAGCAGGAAACCCCCCCCGATTAACAGGGTCCGGCCCGGGACCAGGGATTTGCAGGCCCTTGGCTTTGACCTAGAAAGCCCGAGGCTTTGAGAATATATCAGGAATAGAAGGACTTTCGATTGGAGAATATCAGAGATATAAGGAATGAGGGTTGGAGAATATATCAAAGAAATAAGGATTTTCGATTGAAGAATATCCGAGATATAAGGAATGAGGATTGGAGAATATATCAGAGATATAAGGAATTTCGATTGGAGAATATCAGAGATATAAGGAATGAGGATTGGAGAATATATCAGAGATATAAAGAATTTCGATTGGAGAATATCCGAGATATAAGGAATGAGGATTGGAGAATATATCAGAGATATAAGGAATTTCGATTGGAGAATATCAGAGATATAAGGAATGAGGATTGGAGAATAGTTATATCAGAGACGGAAAACATGTTCATCACAGGCACATTTACATGCTTTCCCCATGCTGGCCTTGCTGATGGCTTCAGCAGAACTCAGCTCATCCCAATCGAACCATGAGTTTGATCGCTTGCTCAGCTCATTGTCTTCAGCAGCATCTAACTCGTCCCAATCGAAGAATGCAGAGGTCTTCAATTGCTCATGCTGGCGCTTGAGTCGTCGCTCCTTTTTCGCATGCGTCTTGAATGCCTTTCTCATGATGCTGCGAATCGCATGGTACTGCGAATGCCTTGTCAACTGCATGCTCAGAATGCTCTCATGCAGCCTCTGCCGCAAGCCCTCATCTCGAATGGGAGCTGGCATGATCTGAGGCATGGGCTCACTGCATGCTGCTTTCTTGTCTCTCACAACAGCATGCTTCTTCACTTCTCTCATGCCCTTGCTGCTGCGGCTCATGCTGTTGACATGCTCGTGCTGGTAAACATGCTGAGCAACCCCAGTCTTCTCTGACTCATCAGACCATGAGAACCTCCCCATGAAGGAAAAATCATGAAGCTCCCAAGGCTCATTCATCTCATTCCACCTGTTCTCCAGCTCATCCCAGTCGAAGAACATGTCGTTCAAAGCAATGAGCTCATCTTCATCCTCATCTGGTTGCGACAGGATGGCAAACCTGTTGTGGCATGTCACCTGCTCACGAAGACTGATGCTCCACACCATGGCGTGATACAGATGCACACTCACTTGAAAACCTATGTCATGAAAAAGGCACAATGTGAAACTTAATGAAACAAATGCCTAAAGCTCAAAATCACATTTTATCAAAAACTCATGCCCACAGCTCATCCACAATGCTTGTCATGCTCACAGCTGATCGAAAGCACTGCATGCAAGCGGTGTCATGCAGCTCATGCCCACAGCTCATCTAAGTCACTGCATTTGTGCGGCTTCATGCAGCTCATGCCCGCAGCAGTGTGTCAGGTTTGGGCTTTTAGGGTTTAGGGGTTATTTTCAAGGATTTATATAAGGTTTAGGGATTTAGGGTTTAGGGTTTAGCTACAAGGGTTTCAGGTTTAGGGTTTTAGGGTTTTAGGGTTTTAGGGTTTAATTGGTTAGAAGGCTTTAAGGTTTAGGGTTTTGGGGTTTAGGGTTTAGTTCGAAGGGTTTAAGGTTTAGGGTTTTAGGGTGTAGGGTTTATTTCGAAGGGTTTAAGGTTTAGGGTTTTAGGGTTTAGGGTTAAGTTAAAAGGGTTTAATTAAGGTTTAAGGTTGAGGGTCTAGGGTGTAGTTAAAGGGTTTAGGGATAAGGGCAGTATGGGGTTTGGAGTTTTGGCATTAACTACTTGGAGGATCATGGGAGTTAGTAAGTAAGGTTATAAGTACCCTAACTGGGGTTATAAGTATAGTTAATTACCCTAATTATAACCCTAGTTAATTACTAAGTCCCATGATCCTTTAAGTAAGGGCCCAACCCTCCCCATGTGTTTCGCTGCTCTCATGCGAAGATCAGAAAGCCATCCCCTCATCGCACCCATGAAAAATGCCATGCTGCTTCATGCATTGATTACTTACTCATGCGGCGCTATGCCGAGCTTAACCTGATCCTAAACCCTAAACCTTAATTAAACCCCAAACAAACCCAAAGACTAATCTTATCCCTAACTGAACTAATTAATGCAGCTCATGGCTGGCGTCATGGGTGCTTTTAAAAAAGCCCATCTCCTCATGGGATCTACAGCCTTATGGCTCATATACGAGCCCATCTCCTCATGGACTCATGGCCGGGCTGAGGGCTCATGCCTCCGCCTCAATGGGCATGAAATGCCCATGGAAGGACCGCATGATCGCTTTGGGCTCTGGCCCATGGGTCTCAACCCATGCTCTGAATTTGGCCGGCTCATGCTGGGAACGGCCCATGCCGTGCCAGCTTTTGATCAGCCAATGCTTGCCTCGGCTGAATCTTATTACTAGCTAACTAATAAAAAACCAGAACTTATTTCTCAATAATCTATTAACCGTAACAAATTATGGAAAATTGATACTTAAATTATTCCCTGAGCTGCCTCTCATGTCGCCCCACACAGTCTCCCATGATGCCAGCTGAAAGATCTCCGTCCTGAAAGGGGGGGGGTTAATTGGGCCTTATGGGGTTTGGGCTCTAATTACTCTCAATTATGAAGGCTGTCCTCATGGCGGACTCCATGTTCTGCGTCACCTCGCTCATGACCATGTGCTTATCGCTGATCACATCATTGCGAGGATCATACAGCCTGGGTTTAGGGCTTAGGGTTTAATTATGTTAATTAAAGTAGGGGTTAAGTAGGGTTTACTTAGGAGGGTTTAATTAACCCTAATTAAACCTTAAACCCTAAACCCTAATCTAAAAAAACGAACTACTGCAGCATCCAGACTCATCGCTGTCATACTCATGGGTCCGGAACAATGCCAGGCTCACCTGCAGGGTTTAGGGTTTAGGGATAATTAGTTATGGTTGTGGGGTTAGGGTTTACAGGGGTTAGGGGGTTTTGTTTAGGGGTTTTTAGGGTTTCGGCAGGGGCCTCGACCCATGCCACCGTGCAAATGATGGGCCAATGGCGATGCAGCATGGGGTGGCTCATGACGATGTCGTACTCCTCATGCACGAACTCAAACCCCAAGCACTCCTAAACCCAATCCTAATTGCACCCTAAACCCTAATTAATTACTTATTATTTAAAAAACACTAATACCAGGCGAGGAGCATAGAGCATCCATGTGTGGAGGAGCTCATCTCTCATCCACTGATCGCAGCGCCATTCCCTCATGTATGGGCTTCAGAGCTTAAAATATGTAATTTACATTCTTATTATGACTAATTAATTACTACTGACGGTCCGAGCCACTGCCAATTGACCAAAACCCATGATCGCCCCGCCATGAGCCTGGTGGCAACATGGCGGAGGCGATCGCGGAAACTGCCATGGACTTCGTCCTTGGCTCAAGACAAATGTAATTAAACCTGTAATACCTCATTAACTAAATAATTTAAAACACAAAAGATGCTTACTTATCCGGCCCATGACGGCTCGCCGCTCCATGTTATGGAGCAACCCATGGATCTGACTCATCAGCTGGCCCATCCTCGGCTCCAAATAACTAATGAATTACTAATGACCCAATCCTAAGTAATTAACCAAGTAATTACTCACAATTGCCAATCATGCCCCAGTCTCTCATCCATGGTTCCCATGGTTCCCTCGTTGCCGCTCATGTTGGAGCTCATGGCCAATGGGTGGGGATGCGGCGCTTATGCGGGCACTCTTGAGCTGATGGCAAGCTCATGGCCGGCCACATTTGAACCCCCAAACCCCTCAACCCCCTCAAGTCCTTGAACCCCTTCAAACCCCCAACCCCCTATTGTAATAATACTATACTACTGTACTGCTTCTATAGAAGCAGTACAGTAGTATAGTATTATTACAATAGTACTAGACTTCAATACTACTACTAAACTACTGTTCTACTATTATACTACTGTAATACTACTACTGTACTACTGTACTACTGTACTACTGTACTACTGTACTACTGTACTACTGTACTACTGTACTACTACTTAATCGGGGGGGGGCCGGTAAAAACTTGAACCCATGAACAAGTTCAAGCGGGCCAACCTTGGGGGGGGGGGGGGGGGGGTTTGCTAATCGGTATCCAACATTAGAAGGGCCCCCACCCTGTAATAGTGGTAGAATAGGAATATAATAGGGCCCTAATATAATCCTTATGGTCACTATTACAGGGTGGGGGCAGCTTCAAAGGTTTAGGGGTGGATATCGTGCCTGCCCGCACCCCAGTCCCGTGCTCATTTTGGCTTTTGAATTGGTCGAAGTCTGTAAAGTCCCAGCCCCAAACCCCTACACCCTAAACCCGACACAAACTGTGTGGAGCCTTGTCTGCCTTGTGCGAGAGTGACAGTCGAAAACCCTATTGGTATTTATTAGGGTTTAGGGTTTGGGGGTTTAGACTTGCATGTCGGCCTCTTTCAAGAACTGGCTAGACTTGAGTCCAGTGGCAAAAAGGGGTTTACGGTTTAAGGGTTTAGGGTTTGCGAGCAGAGGCTTTGCAGGCTGGATGCAAGAAAGGGTTTCGATTCGGTTCCTCGGGGCCCGACTTCACTCCAAGGGGAAAAGGACGGACCCTTAATGGGGACCCCTACCCTATAATGGGCTGTATAATGGGTATATAATAGTTATATGAAGGGTATATACCTACGGGTCCTTATTTAAGGTCTCTCCTTTTACTCTTGGATTCACGGTGTGCGGTGAATGTTTTGGACCCATAGGTTGATCTCGAGAGCCTCAATGAGCCTTACAGAATGGCTCTGTGCGCACAGTGCGTAGGGTGCATGTTTTCGAAAATAGGGGACCCTAATAATAGCACCCTAAATATTAGGATCCTTCTTCTAACAGCCCCAGAATAAGGTACCCCTACTTTTGGAAACTCCCATGGGCTCCGGCTGTGCAGATCTTGTGGGTCAGATCTCCCACCCCTCCACTGCCAACTTGCTGGAACGGAGTGCGGAGGTATCCCATTTCATCTGTGTAGATACAGGAGTGGGACGACTATCTCATGCGCACGGCGGTACCTGGGCTGAGATGCTACAAGTGAGCGATCTGATTTTTATTCTTGTGCCAGCGCTTGCAGGAGTGATAATTAATCCCGCAAGCTCTGGCACCTAGCCTTCCACCAGAAGTGCAGTTCCACGGGTTCACACTGCATGACCCCATGTAGTCAAAGTGGTAGCAAGAGTTTGGTGCCGAGACTCTTCCTCCCTCCTGCTACTGAGCTACTGTGCCACCGCGCTACAGCGTTACTGGTCTAGTGCCACTGCTACTGCTGCTGCCACTGCTACTGCTGCTGCTACTGCTACTGCTGCTGCTGGTGCTACTACAAGGACGACAACGGCGACGACGACAGTTGCAACCGCATCACGAGTTGCATACTGTCATCGCTAGCAGCAAGACATAGGAGGAACGCATTCGAACGATACGTCTTAGAATCGCAGCTTCCGTAAACCCTATAAACACGCCTATTCCCTAAACCCTACCCTACCCTGCTCTATGCTCCCTTACAGTCCTCCGAGGCCAAAGGAGCTTATGTCAACAAGGCCTCGAGCTATGACCTCCATTTTAAAGCCGAGCTTGTCTCAAAGTTGCCTGGCAGCAAGGACTTCGAAGTAGAATGAAGGGAGGGCAAAGCATCCATGTTCGCGTCACCTGAGCTGTGTCTCTGTGTCTGCGTGTGTGCGTTTGTGTGTTGGGCTTGATCAACTTGCAGCACTCGCTGCGCATCTTCTGCCCGCGCTGCAGGTTGATCTCTGACTTGCGGCTTGAGATGTCAGAGATGGACCAGCTGATGCTCGATGTTGCGAACAGTCCGCTTGATGCAAGTCAAGGGAGCGATTTTACTTGGCAATGCTGCGCATGGCGGTACATTGCAGAATTCGGTTCGTGGCGATCAGACCCCGAAGCCTAAAGCGAAGATGAACGGTTCTTTGGGTTCGGAGCCATGCTTGCAGACAATCTACTTCTTGCGTCAGAACTACCCTAAGGCTCCAAAGTAGTTCCTTTTTGGGGGTTCATATATCGAATCCTATAAGGTAATCCCAAAAAGGAACTACCATGGAGCCTCTGGGTAGAGAGTTCAGTGTTCAGAGACTCCTATAGAATGCTGCAATCACGAGTAAGGGGTGTTCCTGTAAGGGTCTTCTCGGTGGGATCCTGCCAACAGGGCTCTTGGTTGTAAGCTGTCCCCATCCTAAACAACATTACTTTTTTGGTCGCGTTCTAACTGGAAGCAAGGAGAGGGCCTTCACAAAGCGAACCTTTTATCGCCCGCCCTGTCGCTCTCCCCTCTCAAGGGAGCCACAATTGCGAAGTTTCTGGGAAGCCGTGGAAAGCACGAAGCCTTCCATGCTCGAAGTCTCACACTCAAAAGGCTCGGGTGTTAGGCTTCATGGTTTCGGATTTGGGGATCTAGGGGTGCTCGGGTTTAGGGGTTAGGGTTTCGGATTTTCCACGGATTGAAAGAAACCTCGGAGCTGAGGTAACTCCTCGAATCCCATCGAAGACATTGCATGCAAGTGGATCCGCTCCACCGACAGATGCTGTGCCAGAGTTGGGGAACATTTTACATTGTTACGGGTACTTAAACCCTAGACTGGCCCTAAACCCTAAAGCCAATGTGAAATAAAGAATGAATCTTCAATCCCTAGGACCCAGAGTAAGCCCTTATTCCCTTTTTTGGGGTTCAGGTTCCCTTATAAACCCCTTTAAACCAAAAAGGGCACCCTTATCCCATGACCCAGGATGGAGAGAATGGATCCCAGTTGTGACGTACCTTGGCAAGCACTTGGGGCATCATGGGACTTGTTTGTTGTTAAGTAAGGTTATAAGCTCCTTTGATGGGGCTATAAGCAAACATATGTATAGGTATACTTCATGGAAGTAAGGTTATAAGTTCCTTTGTTGCGGTGATACGTAAATGTATGTATCGTTACTTCCTTTAACCTGACTCACTACGTCCCATGTTCCTCTAAGCATGTCCGATTCCCACATGGGGCCCCTTTTCAGGCGTCCTTCAGTGTCGAAGTAGCAGTCTCTTGTGTTCTGATTTTCAAGTCCTTCGATATTTATGTGTCCAGGAAGGTCACGCAACATGGGTTGGGGATGTCGCTCCGAATCAGGGTTTCAGCTCCACGAAAGCCCTTGTGCACCAGCTGCAAACCCGACGTCCACCGTAAATGGTAGGCTCCCGGGTTATAGTTGGTTGTTGAGGTAGAAAGCAGCCATCGAAATCTTTCCAAACCGTTCTTTACAAGAGGGCAGCGTAGCTTCCAACCTCCACGATTGGTGCTAGGCACCAAACCCTTAATCTGCCCCATAAGCAAATAGCAGCTATAGTGGGGGTTTGAATGAATTGTGGGTGCTGAGCTTGGAACGGAAACAGGGCACGTCAAAGTGGGAGTCTTCAGAATGCGAAGTGGGGAAGAAGCTGGCAAATTGTGAGCAAGACCGTGCAAACCTATAGTACCCCAGAGGCTTTCGAGAATATTCTAGAACCCAGAACCCCCAGACCCGAAACCCTAAACCCTAAAACCCGAAGCCCAAAAAACTCAACCCCAAACCCTGAACCCCAAACCCTAAACCCCAAACTCCCCAAACCCTGAACCCCAAAGCCCAAACCCTAAACCCCAAACCCCTAAACCCCTAGACCTTAAACCCCAAACTCTAAACCCTATAACCCTAAACCCCAAAACCCCTAAACCCCAAACCCCTAAACCCCTACACCTTAAACCCTAAACCCCAAAACCCCTAAGCCCAAAACCCTAAACCCGAACCCTGAACCTTCAACCCCTAAACAAAACCCTCAGCCCTAAACCCAAAACTCTAAGGTAGGAGGGGGAAACAAACAAAAGGTGGGAGGGAACACGAAGTCGTCGAACCTATGCCTGCAGACGTTGCCAGGCTTGTCCGAGAGTGAGTGTCAAAAAAACCCAAACCCTGAACCCAAAACTCTGAGGAACTGTGGCCCGGGTTTCGGATTTGCAAACGACGAGGGAGAGCACGTGCTCACACGGGCCGACGCCACTGGCTGCTCCCTTTGCTGCTGTGCTTTTACTTAGGGTTTCGGGGCTTAGGGGGGTTTGGGCTTGAGGGTTCCCTAAACCCTAAACCCTAAAACCCTAAACCCTAAAACCCTAAACCCTTAACCATTAAACCGTTTCTGGGTTCAAGAAGGGGTGAGGGCTAAGAGTTTGGAAGAGGGAGGCGCAAGAGCTCGCGATTCAACCAACAGAACTCTGAAAGATTTCGGCTCTACCCACAGGCTCCCATGGTAGGTCCTTTTTGGGATTACCTTATAGGATTCTATATATGAAACCCCAAAAGGAACAACTTTGGAGCCTTAGGGTAGCAGTCTCGGTTGTTGAGTCATCCGCTGCGTTTTTGCTAGAAGGGTGGGGGCGGGGTGAGTGAGCTTAGTGTTTGTTGCCCATTGCTAGCCCCGAATGAACCCCCAAACGCCTCAAGCCCTAATTAAACCCCAAACTGCTACCGCTTCATGCTAATCCCTAAACCCTAAGCCCGAAAACCCCCAAAAACTTACCTTTGGTTAGTAGGGAATGGAGGAATGGTAGTAACAGTAGCTATAATTCTACCCCATTCCCCATTCCCTACTAACCAAAGGTAAGGCGCCTCGTCAAGTACCCTAAAAATAGTAGGATCCTTATTATAAGGACCCCGAAATATGGTACTTCCTATTTTCGAAAACTCCCATATGAGTCCTTAGAGCCCTAAATATAGATCCCTTTAAAGGACCCCTTATAGATCCCCTTTAAAGGAAGCTTATATGAGCCCTTAGATCCCTAGGGAAAAGCCAAGGCCAGCCTGGTTCATGGTCCGAGCTCTATTCCGACGGGGACGGTGTCTCCCATCGGTGCATCCAGCGCCTCGGTTTAGGGTTTAGGGTCTGGGGGTTTAGGGTCTAGGGGTTTAGGGTTTAGGGGCTCCATGAATGTCATCAAGGAGTTCGCCAAGAAGGCAAGGAAGTTGGCAGGGATGGACATCTCCGGAAATCGAGACGACGTCCAGGCCTTCTACAACAGGGTCATGAGCGAGGGAACCCAGTTCATAGACGAGTTTAGATCCTCGGCGGCCGAGAACCCCTTCGGGGAGGAGAAGAACGCCACATCGAATGACAACGTCGAGCCGAACGACCAGGACGCGAAGGACCAGGACACGGAGAACGCGAAGGACAACGAGCCGCAGGAAGCCAACAAGCAAAAGAAGAAGAGGAGGAGGGACCGGCAGGAGAAGAACCGCGCAGGTGCGGAGGAGGACGAAACGAAGAACAAGGCGAAGAAGAGCCGCAGGAAGGGGGCCGGGAAGGGGACCAAATCTTCCAAGGACAAGGAGACCTCCTCCACGCCGGACAGGACCCAGGAGCCGGAGGACCACTTTGTCTTTGCAGTGTTCGGCGACGAGATCGACCCCAATGCCATCGGCACGACCTTGATATCTGACTCTGCCGGTGAGACGAGCCACACCTACCGAAAGAGATTGGGAAAGTTGTTCACGGATACAGGGCTGTCCGGGTTGGAGCAGTGGTACCTGCTGGCGGCATCGTTGGTCACGACGAACGAGCAGAGGTTCTTGGGGCCCTCTCCACGATATGTGACGAGAGGACGAGCGCCAAGCTGGCAGCGTGGGCGAAGACCAACCTGAACCAGACGAGCAGGGCTACGACTACGCACCTAGCGTCGAGCTTCCCTGAGGCAGCGGTGGTGGCGGGGATCCAGTACGACTTGATGTGCATCATGAACAAGGAAAATGAAAAGAAGAACAGGCTGAAGAAGGCCGAGAAGAAGGAGGCTCCCTTCGTCAACTTGATCGAGCTGGTGTCGCGGGTCATCGGCTACCGTGTCAGTCACCAGCTCTTGCTCCCGGTCGGCCTGGAGTTGGCGGCCATTGCATCGAACCTTGTCCACGGCGCCTTGGTCGTCAACCTCAAGACGAGGACGGCCAAAAAGACGACGAGGACGGGGGCTGTCCCGGTGAAGGCAGACCTCAACATCTTGTGGACGGGGGCTCAGGATGGGTACTGGATCAACCTCACGAATGACCGTGAGTTCCGAAGTGACTCTTTCGTCTACAACGGCGTGAAGATCCAGGGGATCAACTACGGGGACTTCATCTCCATGTTCCTCAAGTCCGTGCGGAAGAACATTCCGGACTACCCCGCCATGAAGTTCGTCGCGGCGAACACCCCGTACATCGGGTTGTCCAGCCCGATAATCGTCCTCAGGGTGGTTATCCAAACACCCCCTTGAAATGGTTACAGCAAACAGCTTCAGCCGCCTACGCTCAGTCTGACGTGGGCGAGGAGTCGCTTATTGCTTTCGCTGCGCGTCGTGATGTGTGGAGGGCCAAGGGACAACAGTTCTTTCGCTACATGGCTGAGTCTGAATCCCATCCGATAGCGCACTGTAACACATGGCCTCACTGGAGTATAGTCTGTTACAGCAAGTGCCCTGGCTCTTTGCTTGCGCTCTGAGCGTGACTGCTAACACGGGTCATTTGTCATGGGTTGATGAGGAGCATGGCGTGCTCACCTGGGAGTTACGCCAGAGTTTGCTAGCAGAGGATGTGCATTTTCTCCTCAGTCGCATTCGAATGCAATCACAGCCTTTTGCAATTCTGATAAGCTTGGAAACTTGGCTTTTCGAAGCCCATCTTAATAAAAGATTGGCATAGTCTACACACACGTGTCCTTTCCGACTTTCGAATAGTTCTTGTGTATGATACAGTTGAGAGTGGCCGCATGCGGGACATTCTGTCTAGTGTGTTTGGGTGAGTGCTGCAGCCAGCAGTGCTGCAGATTTGCCTGGCCCTCAGTTTCCTTTCTTCTTCAGGGTACCCGGCAGTCGCAATAGGCCTGGATGCAAAAAGGGTTTAGGGTTTAGGGGTTTAGGGTTTAGTATTCAGCGGCGCCTTACTTTTGGTTCGTAGGGAATGGAAGAAGGGTAGTAATAGTAGTTATAATTCAACCCCATTCCTCCCATTCCCTACTAACCAAAGGTAAGGCGCCTCGTCTGACGCGAAGTTTTTCGCGGTACCTTTTTGGGTTCAGGCTTGATGATTGCAAGGGGCCTTAATAATGAGGGCTTTGGAGGCCCATGATGCTAAACTTTAATCAGGAACCCCCACCAATAATATTGTAATTATTTAGGCCCCATTATGTAATGGGTCTTTAATCTGGATCCGTGTTAGCAGAAAGCTTGGAAGCAGGCTTAAGGCCCGCCCAGCCAGGGGCTCTTGGAATGCCAATTCAATCTTGTGTAATAGAAGGGCTTAAATAATTAGCAGTACTATTTTGCGGATTCCGGATTCCTTATTTTTACTATAGTATACTAATTAGTAAGGCCCCTATATTAATCGGTATGGTGGTCATGAGAGCCAAGTGTAGCTTTGCGTGTTGACACAGTTTCTCAGTCATGACTGTCTTTATTGTGATATGCTTGCATGGTCTAATGTCATTATTGAAGTTGTATCTGCGCCGGTACGAAGCCCAGTAAGGGCACACATAGATCTATGCGATTCCAAACGGTTGGCCATAGCATATAAGATTTTTTAGTCTTGGAAGTAGCTTATAGTTTCTCCTGTTATCATCGCGAACGCTTCCTTGCCTTTCTTCTGGCGTTGTGATGCCCTGGTTGCGGAGATGTTCTCGATCACGCATGGTTGCAGCGTTGAAGTTAACAACACCGTCAGTACTGCGAGTAGCCTGTGAGGATGGCTGTCATGAACAAGGTGTGTTTTGTGCGTGCCTGGGTGTTGGCATCCTCTACAACTCATGTGCTGCATGAGGGCTGTTGGGTATCAGGCTCTGCCCAATATCAGCTTTCGGATTACCGGTGAACTTTGGGGGTTCCTTGTGATGGTTGTTGTTAATTATATAAATCTTTAAGGTCAAGATAGATCCTGGCATTGCAGGGCCTTTCGACGTCCCGTGAAGATCCAGAATTTCGTATAAGCTACCATGATACGGATGTATAGCAAATGATATAGTCTGTCTATGATGGTAACTTAAATATTATATCCTCTTAACATGCAAGAAGCTAAACCTGAACCCTAAACCCTTCTAGAACCCCTAGAGGAACCCGAAATTACGGTAACTTATGTTAAATCCCTTAACAAGAACCCAAACCCGTATCATCCGGCCCAGGTGCTCGCAAGGGACGTTCCAAAACGAGGCGGGGACGCGAGGTTAGACGGGTGATTTTTGGGCAGGAGGCCTGCTGGATGACGTCGACGTAATGGTAGTTACATCTCCAATCATAGCAGTGGCATAGCTAGAAATCGGATTTCAATTCCTCATCATCGTCATCATCATCACCACAACAACGAGACTACCGTTTATCACCGCCAACATCAAGCCCTACCCTGCTGACGATGGATACCGAGCGGCTGTGTTTTCAGTTAGCAGTGACCATTTCCATTTTCTAATCATGCCCACCCCCCTAGGCCACCTGAAGACCCAAAACCATAACAACCTATACTTCAACCTTAACCTCACCAAAGTACCCATACTAAGACCCACAATATAGAACCATTGGAAGACCCGTACACCACCACATAGAAAAACCACTCCGAACACCATACACCCGCACCCTCATAGAAAACCCGATAGTATCAACTCGAAATCCCTAAACCTTGAAAATGGAAATGGTATTCTCTAAGAAAATATCTATAATAGGAACAAGGTTTAGGAACAAGATGGCAACGGGTGTGAAGCCAAAGAGTAATACCCACGAGTCACACTAGTGGTGATTGTTGCTAGTATTCTTGTTATTATGATTAATATTAGAAGTACTGGTACCAGTTTCGTTGCGGTAATTTTCCAGTGGTTTTCGGCTTCACTGCGTTTCTTGGTGCCGGTTGTGACATATTTAGTCTCCAGGGTCTTTGAATTGCCTCGCCTTCCCTCACAGCAAGTAAAGTCATAGTGATACTAGTCATTGTGGTAATAGTAGTACCACTCCTACTACTACTAGTTATGAAAATAATCATAATAATATTAATAATTGTGATAATAATAGTAATAATAATAATAGTAATAATATTAATAATAATAATAACAACAATAATAATAATAATAACAATAATAACAATAATAACAATAATAACAATAATAACAATAATAACAATAATAACAATAATAACAATAATAACAATAATAACAATAATAATAACAATAATAATAACAACCCGAAACAATAATAATAATAACCCGAAACCCGAAACCTTAAACCCTAAATCTCTAAACCCAAGAAGGCGAAAAATAAGAAGAAGAAGAAGCAGAAGAGGAATAATGATAACAAGAATGATCGCAATAACAACGAACATCAACGCATATAATGGTAATATGATTGAAAGTATTAATCATAATAGTATTAAGAATAGCATCAACTGCTTGTTTGCATGGTCGTCTTCCGGCATTAGCTGTCCTGGTACTTACCACACTCTCCTGGACATCCATGACGGCAAGGCGGTTTGTTCTGCCAGTCGGCGCTGTCTACACGCACATTCCCGTACTGTGTCAGTCGCGTTTCGCTCTGCCTCATCGACGTGCTGGATGCTTGTTCAGAAACATGCGTAAATGGACTCAGACCACACCCCCACCACGCCACGTGTCACGAGGAAGGGCACCGGAGATGGGAAGTGGCACTGGCCGATACTGGCCGGCAGGTTTTAGAGACGGTCCGGCAGTCGCAGCTGGCCAACGTCACACTTGTGCAGTGCAGGCAGATGGTCGGCTTGTCTGTTTTGGGTGCAATCAAGATGGGCAGTGTTATGTGCCAGCAGATTTGGGACCAGTTGTGGCAGTTGCAGCTGGCCGTCACACTTGTGCAGTGCGGGCAGATGGTCGGCTCATGTCGGCTCATCTGTTTTGGAGATAATGACTGTGGGCAGTGTAATATGCCAGGAGATTTGGGACCAGTTTTGGCAGTCGCCGCTGGCCCCCGTCACACTTGTGCAGTGCGGGCAGATGGTCGGCTCGTCTGTTTTGGAAGCCATAGTCTTGGGGCATGTGATGTGCCAGCAGATTTGGGACCAGTTTTGGCAGTCTCAGCTGGCGGTGCTCACACTTGTGCAGTGCGGGCAGATGGTCGGCTCATCTGTTTTGGATGGAATGAATATGGGCAGTGTGATGTGCCAGCAGATTTGGAACCAGTTTTGGCGGTCGCAGCTGGCGGTGCTCACACTTGTGCCGTGCGGGCAGATGGTCGGCTCATCTGTTTTGGAATGAACGAAGATGGGCAGTGTGATGTGCCAGCAGATTTGGGGGCAGGTTTGGCAGTCGCAGCTGGCAGTTATCACACTTGTGCAGTGCGGGCGGATGGTCGGCTCGTCTGCTTTGGAAGCAGTTCATATGGGCAGTGTGATGCGCCGGCAGACTTGGGACCCGTTTTGGCAGTCGCTGCTCGCGGTCACACTTGTGCAGTGCGGACAGATGGTCGGCTCATCTGTTTTGGATGGAATGAACATGGGCAGTGTGATGTGTTCAACCGCTGATCATGCAGAAAAAGCGATACTGAGTGCCACGGTGGTCTTAGCCTTTGAGAACTAGTCACCTGCATGGCCAGCCCCCTTTGACCCCAGAACCAGAAGTGCTAACTTTTTCTAGGCTGGTGAGCTGAAGTGTGCAAAGTGCGCGCCCGGCTCGGTGAGCTCGACTACAGGAGACGGCATGCAAGGGTCTCATTCAGTGCTTCCTGGAATATGTGCCTAGCTAATCCCAGCTACACACTTTCTGCGGCGGTGCTGGGATATTGTGGTTTTGAAGACTGAAGCGCACGAAGAGTTGGCTGAACTGGGATGTTCCAGCAGCATGCATTACTCGCAAACTGGCTGACACAGACTCTAGTCATCTACCCGATGGCCGAAGCGGCTACTCTCCGTGATCAAGCTTTGCTTTTTTACAGTGTGAGGCACGACACCGTCATTTAGTCCTGGCAGCGTGAGAAGTAAGCAAAGTTAGTGTGTATCAACAAACCGTTTTCTTCATACCTCCAGACACACAAGTTCTAACTGTAAGCATGAAACTACACCCAATAGCTTGGGCACATAAGTGACTGGCTGCGAAGACTGAGCAGCAACAAACCTTCAGGGAAGCCGTTGAGTTTTGGCCTCCAGGTTTAGGGTTTAGAGGTTTAGGGCCTTTAGGGTTTCAGAGGGCCTTTAGGGTTTCAGAACCTACTGCAGGAGCTGTTGAGTGCGAGCTTTGCACAGTGGGCAGATATGCAACTTGTCGACTGTGTGGTTTTGTCGCGAAGGTGCTGGTTTTGTAGGTTGGGAAAGCGTCGTAGTAGTGGTAGTAGTAGTAGTAGCAGCAGCAGCAGCAGGAGTAGTAGTAGTAGTAGTAGTAGTAGTAGCAGCAGCAGCAGCAGCAGCAGCAGCAGTAGTAGTAGTAGTAGTAGTAGTGCTGCTAGTAGTAGATAGTAGAATTCCAATAGCTATAAGCGTCATAATTTTCGGCGTGGTGGTGGATGCGAGAGTGTACCTTTAATAAAAGCCGTCGCGTGCTTGATGAAATTAGTACTGTAGAGTGGGTCCGAACCTGCCCGTATGGGCCCAGCATGGCCCAGCATAAAGGTGCGGATTGTCCACCACCACAAGTCCAGCTCCAACCCTGAGGCCCAGACCCCATGCCGCTTCAGCGCTTGGAACTGAATCCTGACAAAACGTATGCGATAGCCTGAGGCCAACAGCAGCGGCATGACCGAGTGCACCGCTTGCGACCCGCGCAATCCAGAACTGACCACGATCCATGAAGTTGATCTGGATGGACGAGCCTTGTGTAAAGTTCTGGGTTTGTGGCTTGGGGTGGTGACAGTTTAGGGCGATAGTTGCTGTATCTACAATTCAAGATCTGGGTCATAGAATTTCGGGAATCTTTTGGCCCCCTTCAACCGACAAGTCCGTGTTGGGTAACGCTGAGGTCATCGCCTGCAGAACTTCAGGGAGCTGAGCCTACATAATCTTAGGGGTACTTAGAAATAATTTGTACTTTTTGGTTATTATAATCTTTAAGAAACAGCTAAAATAATGATTTGTGCTAGGGTTCTAAGTTCAGTATCGTAGTAATCAGAGTAGAAGTTAGGTTGAGATTGACCTGGCTAAGCGGGGGCATAGAAATGACAGCTTACTGGTACCTGCAACTTAACTTATTTTACTTAGCCGTAGCCCCGGTTTCCGCATTGTAAGTGCATTACTCTGCACTGACCTTGAAAATGTATCCCTTACCCCGCCGAAGTCTTCCACACGTCCCGGTGTGGCTCTGATCAACAAGCAGTTCATCTTCTTCTAAACTCGAGATCATATACCCGAGCCACCTCTATCAAGAAATCCTAAGCCCCTGAGAATCCGCAAGCCTAAAAATGTGTGATAGACCCTCAACATCCCTAAACCCTATCTGCGTGGTTGTCAAAATTATGGTCCCCTTTTGGGTCCTTAGTGTAATACGGCACCTAATATTTAGGGTACCCCAAAACCGGACCATATCATAATGTTGACAACTACCCATCTATATAAAGTTTTAGAAGGGAGGGGCCTCCCCAGTTGCCCCGGAACTCTGGAGGCTCCAGTAACCTACCTCAAAAAGCCTCCGGGTGCTTTTTCAAAAGACCTCTGCCTATGGACCCTAAGGGACGAGGGGGGTACCTACTTACCTACTTATTGCACTTGTATGTGGCATAAGGGGCAAAGGGAAGCCTACTTACTTGTAGTTGCAGTTGTACTTTGTACTGCTGGCACTTGTAAATACTACTTGTTGTACTTGTCGTTGTTGTTGCTGCTGCTGCAGTAATGAGTTTAACGTCCGAGCACTACATGCTCCAAAAGTTTCTGGGTTTGTCGGGGAGAACCCCCACGAGTCCAAAAGGCGCATGCACCACACTGTGGCGCGAGCACAGCTGGTATCCCAGAACACACACCGCAGTGTGACGCGAAGACGAGGTTCACCCCAAAATCCGAGAGAGAGAGAGAGAGAGAGAGAGAGAGAGTGAGACGAGCGTTCTCATATCAGCCCGATCCTTTTACATTTACATTGGACATAAGAACCCATGGTGTTGTCACGCCGTTTGGGTAAAATCTCTCGCCGACCCATATCTTACCCGTAACTCAGATAATTTCCCATCCCAAATTCTGGAGAGTCCCTTTTTGGGTCCTTATTATAATACGGCACCTCATGAGTTTAGGGTACCCAAAAAGAGACCATAATCTTTGGCGCTTTATGTGTTCATCTGGGGTTGTCGGGCCCTGTAGGGACCCCTCAGACCTCAGTCTTATGGTCCCTCATTGGGTCCCTATTATAAAACGGCACCCAATAATTAGGGTACCCAAAAAAAGGGACCATAATTTTGACAACCGCACCTATATCGTCAGTCATTCGGCGAGCTTCTGAGCTCAAGATCGCATTGAATTCTACCCCAAAGTTGAAGCCCAGAACCCTCGAAGAAAAGCTTTCAGACCTAGTTTAGACGTTGAACAATGGACTGCGGAACTCTTGTAAGCTCCTTCTTGAATACTTCCAAAGCCGTAAGCCTAAGCCTCAACTCCCCAGAGAGCCCAGTACCCCTTAATGAAGAAATATAGCTTAAATCATAATATGAAGCCCCTTATAATTTAAGCCATATTCCTTAATTAAGGGGTATCGGAAACCCTAATCCTTATAGATCCCTTTTAGACCCCTTTTAAAGGAACCATAGGTATAATCCTAATCAAGGGGATGAAGGGCTCTCTGGGTATCCACGCCCAGGAGTGGAGCGGCTACAGTTTAAGGGCGCGTCCTCGGCAGAGTTCTGCACCTGTCCTGCGAGCAGCTTCCTGTACAAGGGCAAATGTGACTGGGCCAATAAGGGACCCTAATTTGGAGAACTGCTCATATACTAACCTTCCATTGGAGCATTTGGGAAAGCCTGCTGCTGCTTTGTTTTGCATGTTCTGGGTGTTAGGGTGGTGATGAGTTAGCGATATTCTTGTGGTCGGCAGCAGCAAGAGCAGTGTTTGTTCTTGCCGGTTGTTTAGATTTGTAGTCATGTTTGGTCGGCCACTGCTGGTTGCGCCAGTTGTACTGAGCTTGATACCTTCACCCCCGCTTGCTCCTGCACAGCTCAGCTCCAGGCTCCAGACCTTTACACCGCCTGCCCTATTCAGTGTTTTAGCTCGGCTGCGGTGGAAGCGATTGAGCTTCGACAGCGCAAGACATGGTTCAAGTCAGAGTTCGGCAGAGTGTCAAACAACCCCATCCACTTATTCAGCACCTTGAAATTTTTTAGCCTCAAACCAAATTCCTGAACCCAAAAGAACCCTGCAATGCGGGCTCGTCCTTGCTACGTAGGATAAAAAATAATGAAAACAACCGAACAATTCTGAGCCCAACAAAAGGGGAAACCCTTTTGTACAGTAGCCCTTATGGTAACCCTTTCAGACCCCTTGAAAGGAACTCTTTCAATGAACCCTGTTTTAATTCTCAAGGCCCCTATACCATAGAACACGAATATAGATCCCTTATGGACCCCTTTAAGGAAACCTTTTAAGGAACCCTATTATTCTTTTAAAGGAAGCCTATTCTAAATACTAATGCCCTATATACCATAGAACCCGAATATAGATCCCTTTTGGACACCTTTAAGGAACCCTAGTATTCCTTTAAAGGAATCCTATTCTAATTACTGACGCCCCGACGTTATCGAGGCGAGAGCTGCCAGAGAGGCGCCAGCTGCCCAGGTACCGGCAAGCATCTCGGCGGCTGACAGAAAGGGTTTAGGGGTTTAGGGTTTAAAATCAATCCTTGGCAACACGTCGGAGGGTCATGTATTCTGGCAGCCAGCAAGCCCAGTGTCAAAAAAGGGGATTGGGGATCAGGGTTTTAGGGTTTAGGGGTTTGGGGGTTTAGGGTTGAGGGGTTTAGGGGTGTAGCCTTTGAAGTCATACCTGATGAGTGGCTCGGCAGACTTGAAGGTTAGCTTTAGGCGCTCATTTACTTCCCAGCAGAGGCTTTGCAGGCTGGATGCCAAAAAGGGGTTTAGGGTGTAGGGGCCTTAGGTATCTCCATCAGATTAGCAGCAGTATCCACTTCTACTTAAGGGGTCATGGGACTTAGTCGTAGTAACTATGCTTATAAGTATCTTAATTGAGGATATAAGTAAGTATAAGTATAGTTACCCAATAATAACCCTAGTTACTAAGTCCCATGATCCTTTAAGTAATGTAGGGGCCTTAGTAATCAGGGTAGGGTTCCTTTAAAGGGTTCCTTTTGAGGGTGTTAAGTTACTATTTCTATAAGGGCTACTTTAAGGGTTTAATACAGGGGCCGTGGGGCCTATTATACTATTGTTACAATAAGGAACACCGAAAAATGCAGGTAACTCTTAAGGTCCCTATAATACATGGTGGGCCGTTTTGCTTTCAACTTGCAAGTTCCACGGCCCCAAACCCCAAAGGGTCCAAAGTACCTATATCGTAGAATGAAGGGCTTGTGTATTACTGTAGGAATTACTCTTATGATTTGGCGAGCCAAAACACAAAACCCGAGACCAGGACCCTGTTGGTCCCTTAGAACGTTTCACATTGTCAGACTCCGAACCATATGTCTCGCCTGGATGTGAAACCAGGACCCTTTCGGAACATCAGTTCACTGCAAGTACAGGAGGCCTCGACGCACAAATAGAACCCAATACCCCTTAATTAAGGAATATAGTTTAAACCATCATATTAAGCCCCCTGTAATTTAAGGTATAATCCTTAATTAAGGGGCATTGGGATCTCTGGGAACACATGTTTTACATAGCATGTGTATAGTGCATGTATATACATATGTGTTTACATGTAGATATGTAACAGATATGCTATGAGCATACGGCTGTACAGTGTATGTGCGGTTACATAGCATATGAATATAGTTTTTCTTCGTAATTGTTGCACTACTTGCAGCAACGGGAGAGATACCGACAGGCTTGCATGTCTAGTTACATTACATGTTGGACATGGGGCAACGCTGACACTTGCGGTGCTTTTTCCCAAAACTCCATAGCATGATTCAAAGAGAAATGCAATTCGCGCTGCCCACGGAACATCCGAGTCATCCTGAAACAGACCGGTAAAGATGGAGTTTCAACCCAGCGAGCGAAGTCCTACACGAATTTCTGTACATGTAGCTGTCTCACTGTGCATGTGCATATGTGCTTTGTGGCCTGTGTTGCAGTAACCACGGCATCGTTGCATGTACGTCGTGGGTGTATGTAGCTATAGACACAATCTGACTTCGTAACAATGGCCACAGATGCACTATATACATAAACACACACACACATATATATATATATATATACACACACACATACACATGTATATACATATGTATGTACGGTACATGCATGCATTCGTCGGGTCATTCGTGGATGCGTCTGTACAAAGATTCGTTGCAGAAACGGCATACCTGCGCCGGCTGCCCAGGATAACTCTCAATCCAGGGTTCTGGTCAGCAGAGGAGGCCCACTGCACCGTGGCTTTGGGCGCTGGCATTGTGCGGTTTAGTCCTAAACCCTAAACCCCTAAATCCTAAACCCCTAAACCTTAAGCCCTAAACCCCTATACCCTAAACCCTGAAACCCTAAACCCCTAAGCCCTTAAACCCCTGACCCCTAATCCCTTCAACCCGCCCACCACCCCTCTCATTGTAGAGGTGAGTGGGCGCCGTCGAGCGCTAGCGAGACCCTGCAGGCCCGAGCTGAGCGGCTCGGGCCTGCGAGACACCCCTGAGGGGGTCGCCCAGCTTAGTCGCGAAGCATAGTCTTTATAGTTATATTATTAACCTAAACCCGACCCCCTTGAGGTAGGGGTTCGCCGGAAAACCCCAAGGGTTCGCCGGACAACCAGCTCCAGGGGTTCGCCGGACAACCCCAAAATTGCTCAAAAAATGGGGTCCGGTAAGCCGCTTGGCTACCCAAACGGATAGTTTTGTTAAGTTCGTATTTTCGTGCACCACGTTTTCGACAAATTTGCCCGTAAACTGTGTTTCTTGGGACGTTTTGGCTGGATAAACTGCTTTTCCGTGAAAATCCGTTGTGGAGCAAGCAACACGCTGCGAGCACGAGCTGTCCTCGGAAAGGTTGACGACGAAAACGCGGGAGTTCGCGGCATGGTTGGCTCCTCATGGGCTCAGGGCTTGGATCCGCAAAGAAAGCTTGTCTTCATCGCTTGGCGCGCCGTTGCAGATTGACGCACGGGGCAAGCCAAACACCCAACGCGCCCTGATCTCAGTTTGGGTAGCTTTGTGAATGTGAATATGTCCCCGAGCATGAAGCAGTTCCACAGGTTTGCCGCTCACACTTCACAGTGTCTCGACGCGGAGAGGAACAGCAAGGCCCATGCCACCAACGGCAACGGACCTTCTGCCACGGGCTTAGATGATTAGGAGGCATGTCTGGTGTGGTGGAAGCCCATTCGTGTGTAGGGTAGTTGAGAGCTCAACTTGTCACCAGATTAGGAAGCGCGTCGCTGCAGAGATTGACGAGGAGGATCTTTGCTTCCGTACGGATGTCCCTCTCTGCGTGCGTTCATACATGGGCGTGCGTGTGTGTGTGTGTGTGTGTGGATGTGTTTGTCTGAATCTCACGATTTCGTCGGTGTCTATGCATATGTGCTTGTATGTGTCCGAATGTATCTGCTTGTAGATGCCTAGCCGCAGCTCTCTTCTTGCCAGGAGGAGTTGTTGTGTGTGTACCTGTTTGCCAGGGTTGTGCGAGCTCGGGCTCGGACTCCTTTGTTGCCAGGGAGAGCGCGCCTGAGGATTCGGAGGCTGGCAGCCGGCTGGGGGAGGGGCCCTGCAAGTGGTAAGTGTGTGTGTGTGTGTGTGTGCCTGCCAAGCGAGGACTCGGGCAGCGAAGCTAACCGTGCTTGGGGCCTGTTTCTTTCAGTGATGTGGGCGTGGAGGAGCGTGAGCTCGAGAAATTTCTCCGCGGTCACTCGCTGCCCGACATCACTTCTCCACAGACCCGGAGACGGCCTTGGGGAAGTTGAGCATTCGCGATGTCTTGAATGAGTTCAACTCCGCGGATGGAAAGAAATTTCTGGAAGCATGCAAAGATATGAACACGTCCAGCGAAGACCTCGAGCGCAATGAGGAGGCGACCTTCACACGGCGGCCGTCAAGCGCTTTCTCCGGTTCTTCACAACTGACGCGGGCAAGAAGGAGGCCTGCTTCAAGAAGCTTGCTAGATTCTCAGCGCGGCTGTACCTCTTCGAGGCCTTCGAGGGACTCGAGGCAACCACCGCACTGAACGATGGCGGCAGGAGTCCATCACATTGGTGCCGACTACAATCTGCACACTTCGGCCCAGAACATGCCCCCAACACAAATCTTACAAACTTTGCGCAACCCTTCACGATTTGAGGCGACTTCCAAATGGAAAAAGTTGGGGGCACTCCTTACGAAGCCAAAACTCGGAAAATCAATGAAAGGGCCCTTCGGCCCAGAACATAATTACCCGCCACGCAAAATCTACATTTTGCCCTGCGTATACTGTTTGGCTTTGGTGCGTTTGGCTCGGCTTGCTGGTTGGTTTGCCTCGCCGTGGGTAGTGTTTGGGTGGTCTTGGGGTGGGCATTTCTGCACACAAAGCGTTCAGCAGACCCATGCTACACCTAAACCCCCAACCCCTAAACCCTAACCTAAAACCCCTAACCCCTAACCACCTTAATCGTGCTGGGTGGCTGGGGGTTGAAGGGTTTGTGACGCCGATGGGTTAGTACGATAGGGACTTTAATATTTACGACCAGAACTATTTTCGGTGGTTTCCTTTTTGCATTTATTCGGGTCCTTATATTAAGGTGGACGATGGTGCGGTTTGCTCCGCAAGGCTGAGGCTTGTGCATGCAAACACTGGATTCAATAATATGATGCTCGCTGGTGTTCCAGCAGAACCAAAGTTTCAAGCCAGCTGCAAAGCCCAAGGTGAAGTACAGGTAGCGAAAATTTCCTTGTCGCAGCTTAGTCCTAAACTCCTAAACCCCGACGTCAAAACTCGCTAAGCGCACCAGCAAACCCACATACGCATTGGTGTTTCTTCATGTTGGTACCTGGTAATTAACTCCAAGACCTAAACCGTGAAGGAACCCGACTAGAAGCATGAGCCCGCCACCGTAGCTGGATGTGGCTTTATTGCCCTCAACCGTACACCTTAAACCGTGCTATCGACAGGGCTGGGGAATAGGCAGACATGGACTCCACTGATGCGGTTTCTCTCCATGACTAACACATCACACCAGGCCAAGTAAAACATCTTTAGACCCCTAGCATACAACATTCACCCCATGGATTCTGAAGTTCATGCGTTCTTAAACACACACGGAAATAAAAGTCACCATGCAACCAAATAACTAAACAGATGATTAAGCAAACACAGAGAGAGAGAGAGATACATATATTATTTACAGATAACTCAGATAACTATGTATTCTCGTTTTATTCGTATATGAGTTTCGGAGACCAGGAGGTGCTGCTGAAGGTTTCCATGAGCAGGGACCCATGTTGAATATGTACGTCCTCGAGTTTGCTGAGTGCTTCACATGTGTTCCAATTTTCAATCCCAAAACCTTTTCTCCCTAGATCCTAGATGCTAAAACATAAATTTGATATTAGATAAGGAGCTATCGAGGCAAGGGAAGTCCCAAAACCACTGGTTAGCCAAGCCTCACTGCCGGCGGCGCACCCGAATCACGAGAGGATCCCGGGTCGGTCTTCCAGTGCTTTGACACACCCGCCCCTTGGCAAAGGTCCTGCCACGGTTCAGGGTTTAAGGTTTAGGGCATGTATGGATTCATATATTCTGGCAGCCAGCAAGCCCAGTGTCAAAAAAGGGCATGTATGGATCGGGGAGTTTGGGAGTTGTGGGTTTCAGGTGTATGCGACACAGTATGGGGCGCAGGATTTCAGGGGTTGCAGATCTTTCTGGGTTGGGTAGCCGTGGTTCGGGATTTCTGGTTAGGCTGAGGTTGTGGTAGTTGAGGATTTTGAGGGCCGCATTTTTTGCACAACGGCCTAACTTTATGAACCATTTGGTACATCGGGTTGAATGCTCAGCAATAATAAGTAATATTCCTTAGAGCTTATATATCTTACTCAGTTTTCTTGCCCATGTTCTGAATTGCTGAAGGCTTGATCTGTCGAACGAAGCCGACGCTGAGCCCCCTCAGAGAAATTCCCCAACACCTCTGGAAAAGCTTGCAGTCCTTAAATCAAACAGCTAAGGTCACAGGAAGCGCAGGAAGAAATCGAGACTAGTCGCTGAACATCTTGGACCATGGTGCAAATGACTCGGGAGCACTTGTAGCTTCGACTTACATTACACTGCATGTTTGCAGTACAAAGCATTTGTATCTGTAGGTATGTAGAATGACGCACACCCACACAGCAGTCACCAGCCCAACATAGCAAATGAAGTCCTATGGTAACCCTCATAGTTACATTTATCTTATAGCCATGAACAAGCCGCGTACCGCTGAGGGCCGGTGTCCCGGTGGAGAACCTGGGATGTGTGCCTTGGGCAGGGTCCCTTGGATCATAGTAACATTTTCGGGCAAAAACGGGTCTAGGGCTCATAAGGGCTTTCAAAATGCATAAACGCTTATGGGGTTTAGGGCTTATGGCGTCGGGTTTAGAAACTAGATGAACCCCGCATAAATGACCTTAAACCTTGTGAATCATTGCTTTGCTTTTACAGCAAGGACACAGACAGCTTGGCCTGCAGTGCCTTGGCAATGCTGGCGTATGGAGGGACACATACAAACGAATGCACGCGCACACACGCAAGCGCACTTACACTGAGGACTTGTGGGTGTTCGGTTTTTTGTCACGCGTAAGTTAGGACTCTGACGAGGTTGGGTTTAGCTACACTTTATGTTCTTGGCGGAGATAGTCTGTTGCGTTTCTACGCGGTATTTTACTTGCCTGAGGGTCCAAGTACACGTGGAGTTATAAGTCTCTTAACATAGCTTAATATGGCTTAGCAATATCTTACCCTAGGGATCTAAGGACTCATATATTGAGGCTTTTGGGCCCACAGACCATACTACAGAAGGCTTTTGGGCTATTTTGATCCCCAGGGTTAAGGAACCATGAACCTCCAAGCGGGCTTTAGATTAGATTTCATGCTGCATTGGCTCAGTCTGGGAGTTCGACCGCTCGCAGGTACCTATGAGGCCCTGCTCAGAACCGCCTGAACCACCTGAACCATTTGGGAGTTTCCGAAAAAAAGGGGTACCTTATTTCGGGGTCCTTATAATAATCCTACTATTTAGGGTACTATATTAGGGGCCCCGATTTTCGGAAACTCTTGTTTAGCTTGGGTCTTACAGCTCGCAGTGCTGGCTTTCAAGAGCCAAGAGGCTGGGGTTATCTGGGGTTCGTGGTCCCCGGGTTCTTGAGGCATTGCCCATTAATCGAAAGCGAGCCATCAAAGAACATTCAGAAAACCCGATGAACGCGAATGAACCGGAAGACAGGTCTCTGCCTACCTGGTTGGTATGAGCAGATGGGTGTCTGCACCGAGTGTCGGAGCAGCGACTTGCCTGATGGCGGAATCTGCGGATTTAGGGTTTGGGGGCTCGAGGTGCAGGGTTTAGTGGTTTGGGGTTTAGGGTTCGACCTCGTTCAACAAAGGATAACCACAGAGATAGCTCTTTCAAAAAGGGTTCAGGGTAAGTCTTTGCGACTCGCGGTACTGCCATGTCAAGTGGAACTACGAAGTTAGAGTTCAGTCGCTGAATCTTGTGCGGAGCACGGGTGTAGCCGGTTTCCCAGCTGAACAGGATCCGAGCCTGGGCTCAATTCAAAGGTACTAGGGGTCGAAGGTTTCCAATGCCGAGGCTAGGGAAGCAACGAAGCTTCAGGCATGGGGGGGCAGAGTAAAGGACGAAGCCAGCGGTTCATTCGGACATGAAGCCTGCTGTGTTCAGCCACTCTGTCCTCGATGGTTGGCGGTTCACTTCCACTTACTCCAAAGTTTTGCGCCTTGACATGCCCTGACTGTTACCCCCAGAGAACCCAATATCCCTTAATTAGGGAATATACCTTAAATCATATTAGGGATCCTACTATAATTGAAGGTATATTCCTTAATTAAGGGGCCCCTTGGGATCTCTGGCCCCTCTCAGGCGATTACGTGTTCATTGCAGGGACGATGCTCGTGGTGACGACGGCCTTGGGCGTGCTGCATTTCACGGCAAATTGGCTGAAGTTTGAGAGGCACGGGAACGGGCCTTCTCGTGGCAAGCTTTGTCGTCCCCGAATGTCAGAACCGCACGGAAATGTAACAGGCAGGGAGATACAGGTAGAAGAAAGAAAACAAGGAAACTCCAAACGTCAAGTATAGTTTCGCCGCATGGGCGGGCGCAATTTGCCTCCATGAGGCCATTCGGGTTCTTGAAGGGGACCTGCCTTTCATCAAGGAGGCAACAGCGAAAGATACCCCTGCACATTGCTGGATTTCAATCCCTTCATAAATTCGGTAGCCTTCACAAGAGTCTTGCAAAACACACCCCCGAGACACTCATCCCGCCACACGACCCCTTTTCACGAGAAAGCGCCGATTTACTTCTGATTTTTGTATACCTATGACTTCGTGGGACCCGCCGAGTAGGCCCTTATTCCTTTTTTATGGTTTAGGTTCCCATATAACCCCCTTTACCCCAAAAAGGGCATTCTTTTTATTCCTAGGTTACTCTTAGGTCTAGCTTCTGAACATCCCGAAGTCGCAACGACCTGTAGCTTCGCACGATAGAGGGATGGACCGTGGACTGCGTGCAGCCCTTTCTTGTCGGACTCCTGTGCATCTTCATACTTCAGACCCTACGCCCGCTCCATACACAACCATCACCAAGGTCCTGGGAACAGGAGGAAAAAACCGGCGATCGTCGCAAAGTGACACAGCTTCACAGAGTCGAGAAGCTTTGAAGTAAATTAAAGTATATTTGTTCAAGGCTTTATGAGGCTTGTAGACTTGTTCTCTTAGGGCTTGGTGTTACCGAGTAGCTTTGTGCACGTCAACAAAGTACTGCCATTATTGGTGGCTTGAAGACACTATTCAGCAGCTGCAGGAGCAGCAGGCGTATTAGAAGGAGTAGGAGTACGATTAGGACCATGACTAGGACGAGGAGGAGTGGTAAGTAGTACTGGTACTTGTATGTCGTAGTCGTCGTCGTCGTAGTCGTAGTAGCAGTGGGAGCCGTAGACGTAGACATGGATGACATTGGCTTCAAAATCCCTCGAGTGAGACTATGGAATCTTCGGCTGAAGTTGAAAAAAGTGCATGTGTGGAATGAGAACGATAGGAAAAGGAGGGGACAGGGGAAAGATCTAAAGGAACCTTTACAGCACTTTAACCTGGTAGTAGAGTAGGCAACCTTTAACCTTTTTGGGGTACCTTTAGTTCCCCATGGTACCCGACAAGTAGATTAAAAGAACTGCTGGAGCCTTGACCGAAACCCAAAACCCTCTTAGTCATCATAGACGGCATACCTATACTAGAGTATCAAGCCAGGGGCCTAAATGATTACCAATACTATGGTGGGGTTCCTTACTAATGATTGTGGTATAGTAATTATACCTCAAAAACCCTGTTCTAATTATAAACGCCTCTCTGTTAATGTCTGGCCAAACCCCAATTCAACAAGCTGGCCGAACACCCGCAGTCCTGAGCGCCGCCCGCTGCAGGTCTTACACGCTGTTGCGGTCCCCTATTTCGGAGGATTACGGTACTTCTCAGCCTAATTGCTTAACATCTTACCCACTGGTCAAAATGTATATAGGACCACTGACAAGACCGACCAATCCGAAAAGAGCACAGGGGTCGCAACTCTTGCTGATGCTGGTACCACGCACACCCAAAACCTATTGAAGGTGAATCCTTTTTCTTAAGGCTCCATAGTAGTTCCTTTTTGAGTTTACTTTATAGGATTCTAAACATGAACCCGGAAAGGAACTACTTTGGAGCCTCTGGGTAGTTCTTAAGGCTCCTGTAGTACCCCCTTCGCTCTCCAAGGCTTGATTATGACGGGCCTGGCCTTGTCTCAGATGACATTTTTCCTACAGGCCGGCGTCGTGATGACTGCCAGGGATCGAAATTAAGCTACCATAAAGGGATCCTTTAAGGGATCTATAAGGGTTTCTTCAAGGGCGCAGGGTTCAAGGTTGAATGACCAGCGCTTGGAGGATCGTTTTGAGGCTCCATCTCTTGACATCTTATACACCTTAACCCCTTAAAAACACCCTAGGCCCAGTTTCCAATCTCTCAGGAAGTATCCTTGAGCCGCTTTTCAGATACCGTTAAGACCAGAAGCTCGGTACCCCAAGGCAGTTGCCTGGCTTAGAGCCCCAAAGTGCTAAAGTTGCTTAGGCTTACCGCTAGGCATCGATTTGGGATAATTTGTTCAGTTCCCTTATTGTTTAAATAATATAGAGCTCTAGTTATACATGATGTTGGGGATTGTTGAAATCGACACCTGGACCCTAAACCCTAAACCCTGGGAGCAGTCCGAGTGTGAGTGTCAAAACCCTGGGAGCAGTACACCCCAGTGTGACTTCGTTTGGCAGAGTCTCAGCAGCGAGAGACTAAGATCGAGCCGAGACTCTACTCATGGGGCTTAGTAGGGTTTCTTGACGGGCTCCTTAGGGGGATCCCTAAAGGGATCTAATGGGTTCTATAAGGGAGGATCGTGGGACTTAGCAAGTAGGGGTATAACTCTTTCACAAGGGCTAGAATAAGATAGTTATCTTGCTAATACCCGTACCCTAGTTGCTAAGTCCCTTGATCCTCTAAGTCAAAAAAGGGCGGTCCTTATCAGAATTACAGCAGAACTGTACATCAAAAACCTTATCGTAATTATGAAGGCCCCTCTACTAAACCCTTGTAATAGCCCGTATAGTAACCCTTACAGACTGTAAGGAACCGGGATTGGAAGAGAGGAGGCTGAAAGAAGACTTTTGGAATTCGGTCGGCTGCTGTCCCAAACTGTCTGGTGGCCGTGAAACCCCCACGTACTTGAATAGCACCAAGAACGAAATGGGAGTTTCCGAAAATTAGGGGTACCTTATTTGGGGTCCTTATAATAAGGATCCTACTATTTCGGGTACTATATTAGGGCCCCCTATTTTCGGAAACTCCCAAATAGCCCCGGACGCCAAACTAGCAGCCCCGATTTGGCATGGGCTTTGACCTGCCTGGTGTGAGCCGAAACGATGCTCCACCAGGCTCCGTCCTTGCTAGGTAGGAGGGGGAAAATGGTTGCTGGCTGGTGCTTGGAGGTTCATGTGTGGTTAGAATCTTAGAAGTGGGGTGATGAGTCTCCGAATATGGGTTATTTTTATAGCTACCTTACATATAATAACCCCACGGACCGATGAACCTCCAAGTAGGTGTCCCTCATGCGCTGACCTCGTGACTATGAAAAATCGATTCCCTCCCGAGCACTGTAACCCACAAACGCCTGTCTCAGAAAGCTTATGCTCGCTCACAAGCAAAAGCCTAACTAACCAGTGGTTTTGGGGTTCTCTTGGCTCTTTAGCTCTTTATTTGATAGGGATTATCATCATCCCTGGCTCCTTAGCTCCCCCAATATCGATGGTTAGATAAGGCTTACACCCCAGCTGTCTCCTGTGTGCAAGGTGATGTCAACCATCAGGCCTTCTCGTTTTCGGATCTTCACAGTTTTGGTCATCCACAGAAGTGTGATGAATTTCTGAAGGTTCTTGGCTTTTGGGTTTCGGCTTGGGGATATGTAATAGGGTAACAGGTCGTGTCGGAACTACGACTGATTGCCTGCGACACGGCTTGAATGTTAATTGGTCGTTGTTGGCGACACGAATCTCAATTAGGTCAGCAACAGTGTCCACCTTTAGTCCCGATGCTTTCATATTACAAGATGCCCAAGTCTTCGCAGGAGAACGGACCAAAGCTTGGGCACCCCCACTCTTAAAGCAGATGTCGCTTAGGGCTTACAGTTGGAGGTATGTAGCAAGCTTGCGCTTGAAAAACCACAATCTCGGCCGATGTGTTCTAGGAAAGACTCAGACTTGCTGCTGGTTTATGGTTCATGGGAATTGAGTGGCAAGAACCCGTCCAGGTCCAAATGAAGGCTTTTAAAGGGCCTGTAAAGTAACGGACCCTCCGAGGACACAAGAGAACGCGACAGTCATAGGGCTTCAGGTTGTGCAGACCCTGATACCTGAACCCGAAATGTTCGGGGGCGTGGTCAGAACCACGAAGGATGCTGAAACCATGACCCGGTCCTAGTACACCGTGAAGACACTCCAAAACTTTGCGGGTCATGGCACGGATCATGTAGTCCGACTTGCAACATTAGGCGATAGTGTAAAGTATTTGTTCGAAAACAAAGCATACTATTACTACACACAGCCAGCAGGCTGTTCAACATCAGCTGGGGCGAGCCTTTCGCGTCAGTGCTGCTGCTTTTGCACCTTTGTCCGTCAAAGTGCAGGTGCAGTGGAACTCAGGCCGTAATCCAATGCCGACTGCCTACTTCAGGATCTTGAATTTCAGATTGCGGCTGCAAGAACGGGAACTCCAAACCCCGAAATCGCACAACTATGAACTAAAGCGTGGTGTGATCTAGTTGCAATTGGACTGCTCGTGTGGGGATGTTCCGTTGGGACTGATCAAGCCGTCGTCGTAGGAGCTCCTAGAGATATGGGAGTTTCCGAAAATAGGGGTACCTTAGTTTGGGGTCCTTATGATCAGCATCCAACTATTTAGGGTATAATCTTGGGGTCCCCTATTTTCGGAAACTGCCATATCGCCATATCTTCCCAAATTCAGAAGCACTGCCCCGACGAGGATCCTTCCATAGATGGCATGCAATTAGGGTTTTAGGCTCCTTTCAGAGCTCCCCAGCTGCCCTAACGTTCCATAGATATGGATTAGATTGGCTCCTTTAACAATTATGGGGCTTATAACCCTAAGCCTATATAGCTGCTGAATGTAATGCCATTATAGTTAAGGGTTCCGACATTAGGGTTTCGAGTTCAGGGCTTGACAATATGCATAGTCCAAATGTGTAAAACGGTTTGACAGGCGAAGCGCAAAAAAAAGTTTTGTTGCAAGCACAAAGGAGTGCCAATCGCCGGTCCTAGGGTAACTGTACTTATCCGTATTAGGGGACATAGCTACCCCTACAAATGTGCGCGGCCCGGCTAAGGGAATCCATCGCCACGGACACCTTCCTCCGAAGCTTGGCCCTGGGATTTTCGGGCTTCAGGGTTTAGCTTAGTTAGTAGCTGAGTGGATACACTTTACACTTTTTGGGATAATATCACTATAAAACTGAAAGTGTACACTTTTTGGTGCTTATGAACTCAGCAACTAAGTTAGGGTTTCCGGGTTATTTAGGGTTTTATAGTTTTGGGTTCAGGGTTGAGGGTTTCGGGGTTGGGGTTTAAGGGTTGTGGGTTTGGGTATAGGGATGGTGGAAGTAGTGTCCAGCTACTTTGCAGTGGGTTGTTGCATATGTGCATATATATATATATATATGTACGTATGTATTTCCATACTCTCGAAATTTGCAGAGAGTACTACAATGGTTATGTAGTCATAGTCACACTTGGAAGCACCTAATATGAAGAAGCAACTGCAGACGAGCATCCGAACTTCACAACGCATGCAAGCAGTCGATCGCTGTACATAGTTTACAACTTAGACTTGGCAAAGGTAGCATTATACTGCCAGGGCGCAACAAAGCAAGAGTGCAGACAACGTGCTGTCATGCAGTGCTTGGAACGATGCCTTCAGAACAAAGGCGGGCCATGAACTTAAGCGTAATTACGAGGACTCCACAGGCCCATGAACTCTGCAACAAAGGGGGGTCTACACGTAAGAGTCCTTGTGTTAGAGATCCGCGTTGGCCCGAGCTCCCAATCGCAGCCTTCTAGCCACCAGCGCCCTGCCCTGCTACCCTGATGTGTACGCAGTCCTTCCCCCAAGTACGATCCTGCCCCTTCAAACTGCAGAGGGAGCAAACCCCTGGCTTAAATTTGGTCGCTACTTTCATTCTGGTTGTTCTTCCGCAACTAATGTAGGAACCTGGTTAAGAAACCCTGGGAATATAACCCCAAATTAGTGGGATCCATAATGAGGAACCTTGTAACAAGGACCCAAGGTTTCTTAATCAGGTACCTACATTATACTTATAGTAGAATTTGGATCTAATTGGTCAGGCTCCTGCAGTTCGTGCATTATGCTGCGTGCCTGAGGTTCTCTGACCGTCTTCTCCTGCATCTCACGCGTGGATTCACTCACAGCAGCTGCGATAGAACTATGTAGGGTTTGGGGGTTTAGGCTTAGGGGTTTAGCCCTGAATCCGGCCCCAGCCCGTGACTCAAAAAGCGGTAAGGGCTTAGGGTATGATTATGTGGCGTAGTGTGAGTTCCGGTGTTGTTGATCTTATTAGAGCAAGGGTCTGACGACCATCACCTATGGGGTCGATTAAAGCTTATATATTGTAGAGAACGCACAGCAGCAAATTGTCGATGGGTGTGCGGCCCTTTGGAGTTACGTCTGCGTCGCACGACCTGCCCCTCAGAGTTCTGGCTCAAGGTTAAGCTCAAGCTGAACGGCCCCCCCGTGTGTTTCCGCCTCTCGGCGCCTTACGGATGGAACCGGAAGACGTTCCGCCTGGATTGGCGATGAGTCTGGATCTGGATGTCGTTCGTGGTTTGCTGGAGGAGCAGAGCAATACACTTATGGCATCAAGCAATCAGATGCTGGATGTCATGATGCGGGAATTGCAGGGGAAGTGGATGTCGCAACTTGTGGAGCTCCGTGAGAGGGCTGCTGCACAGAATGATCTTGTGTGCGAGCTTACGAAGCGGTGCCGAAGCTTAGAACAAAATCTGCGGAATATGGAAGACGAACGGAGTGTTGTGCTCATGCACCCGCAAGATGGCGGAGTGGCGGAACTGGAGCCAAGAGGGAGGCTGTGTGACCATGCTCGGGCCGAGGCTCAGGGCCATGATGATGAGGATGACAGCACTGCTAGTTTGGAAGACACGGGCAACAGTTGGGGTCGAGATTGGGGTCGGAAGCGCTGGTATAGGCGTTCATGGAACCGTCATGGATGGAAACCCGGATGGGGGCGCAACTGGTATGCAAGCCACAATGGTTTTGGCAACTGGTCTACCAGGTACAAGCACAGGCAAGTGCATCACTCCGAAGAGAGGTGGTGGCATCAATGGCGGTCGAGAGAGCACCCAAGTTCAATGGTGCATGTTTGGATTCAGGGTTTGGAGCCCTGGTGCCGCCATTGGCGTTCCTCTGTCAAGGATGTCTGTGTGTATCAAGATGGACCATCTGAGCAAGCTGCGACTCTGCATATCACGGTCTAACATGAGCATGGCTGAGCTGTGAGTCCAATGCAATGCTACAGTTTTCTGAAGTGGTTATCTAAAACGGGTGACTTGAGGGATGTTTCACGAGCCCTTCAAAGGTTCATGTTTGAGTTACGTTCGATTTCTGGTTATGTGTTTGATGTGCGGCGTTGAGAATCTTCCGCCGTGTGCATGGCCTGGTCTGCGATGGCCGGGGGTCGACTTTTTTCGTGTTTTTCCTCCCTGTAAGAGGAGGTACATGAGGGAGCCGATTTCGCTCGCCTCAAGGAGGCTTCCGTAGGTCGTATCACACGTGCAGGCGGAAAAGAGCGCACAAAAAAAAAAAAAAAACCCTAAGAAAGCAAACCGATTCAGATGCGCCATCAGTGTAGTCAGCGTGCAGCAAGAACCTCGTCTGGCTGTGTCCTAGTTGTGAGAGCGTAAACCCCAAAGCCCGAAAAGCCTCTGAAGCCCGAAAGCAACATCAAGATAATACCCCGCGATCGCCGCGTTTCCTGGTTGTTCCCTGAGACCTTAGGAATCATGTTTTCATCCTCTCATAGTGTAAACCCCGATGTTGATAAATACTGTCTAACTATTTGCTTAAGAGGCTTATAGTATAACCTGCACGGGAGCCTTCAACCCTAAACCCCTTGCCCTAAAGAGGCCTATGTCAATGCCACCTTGTTGCTGCCAACCTTCCTGACACTCGGCTGCTTCCGTGCGTTGAGGGTTTGGGGGTTCAGGATGTTGGGGTCTAGGATCTTAGGATCTCGAGATGTCAGGGTCTACAGTTTTGGGGGTTTACCGTGGTTTACATGGCCTTCCGGGTTTTAGGGTTTCGGGTTTGCCGAGTTTCGTACCTTCAGTTCAGGTTTCTGTAGCATGCACATCTTGATCGATGTGAACCCCGGCTCCGGATATGTTGCTACGGAGACCTTATAGTCAGGCCCTTGTGAAATATGTCCAAAATGGCCTGCTGGCAAGAGCACAGGAGATTTGGTGGTTTACTTATCTTTATAAAACGGATGAATGCCACTTGAGACAATCTACATGCCATTCCATGTGTTTCTTGCCAGTTTATATTTGCCGGGCACACGCACAGAGTTTGTTGCAGGCTCTTGGTGCCGCTTTTGGCTCACTTGCTCTACCTTGCATCTCGTCTTGAGATGAAAGAGTCAAAGGAAGTATGGTGGGTGGATAGAAGGTCTGCTTCGGCGGTACGTATTCCTCGCAGAACGTCCGGCGGGGATGCTCGCATACTTCCTTGTCTAGGGCACAAAGAGAGCAGCTCACGGATGCGAAGTACTTTTCAAAGCCGGGCTCGAGCTTCGTTGGGTTTGGGTTTAAGGTTAAGGTTGTCTTTTAGGGGTGTAGCGCTTTGGGTCTGCGGGTCTAGTTCGGAGTCCCTTCTTCCAACTCGTGCTATAGGGGCCATAATAATGACCTATACTATTTTGGGGGGTTCCTTATTATACTGACAGTATCATATACCCCCAAAACGCGATTCTAATTACTAAAGCCCCTATAGTAGCCCAAAGAGGAATACCCCTGCCGCGCTGCCCAGACCCCGAGTTTTGCCAAAGCACCGCCCGTGTCCAGGGCTGCTCCGCGGACTTGTAGTACTGCTGTAGCAGTCGTAGTCGCCGTCGTAGTCGTAGTAGTAGTAGTAGTAGTAGTAGTAGTAGTAGTAGTAGCCTGTCCAGAACCGACGAGTTGTAGATTATTGAGATATGTTGTCTCAACCTCGAGTTCTTTTGTTCCCTAGAACATCGCAGACCCTAAGCGGTGCGATGAATCCTCGCCTGCATTGTGCGAGTTGCGGGCAGCAAAACTATAGGATTTTAACCATGCCTCGGCTGGATTGTCCGAGTTGTGAGCGCATATACAGGACGACTCCCACAGAAGAACGGCATCCCTCATGGAGCCGTTACAACACCCGTACAAAACTTGACAACTTGAGTGAGACCCTGTAAAACTTGAAAACTGCAACCCACGAACAACCTGGTAACAGGATGACAAAATGCCTGTGAACACCATGCAAACCCTGACACAAGCCGTATGAAGCCCCAGGATCATCTTTGCCGCAGTTGTGATGAAACTTAAGCTACACCGAAGAACCCACCCTCATAGAACTCCTCAAGAATCCTACAAGGGGAGTTTCCGAAAATCAAGGTACCTTATATTATTTGGGGGGTCCTTATAATATCTAGGGTGCTATATTCGGGTCTGCTTCTTTGGGGAAACCACCCCCTCAAAAAAATGCTCCAAGAAGAGCCCCCAAAGGTCTGCCGACGACCCGGCAGCTGGAAGCTGCATCGTCTTGGAAAGACCTGTGGGATGCTTTACGTGACCCTGGCGGCACACTTTTGTGTTTGGTTTTAGTACCCTAAACGCTGTGAACTCCGGTTTGGCCAGTTTGGAAGCGCGTGTCACCCTAAACCCTAAACCGTTGGACTATTATCAACACTTAATTCCATACAGGGATTGACATCATAGTTACAATGGCTTAAAGGTTGCCATCTCAAGACTTTGACTAGGAGGCAGCCTAGGCTTCATGCCATGTAGGGGTTGAAGATTTTAGAGAGTAGGTTCTAGGGTAGGTCTAGGGTGTTTAGGGTTGAGGTTATTATTTCGAGTTCACGGATTTGGGCAATCCTTCTTCCGGGTATTCTGGGATCCTTGAATTTGCAGCAGGACTAACCTAGTGGTGAGCGCTTGAGAGAACGTTATAGCTGTGTCGGCTTGGCAAGGTTGTTGAAGGTTCGTGGGTGAGGAGTTCCCGGCTTCACTTACATGGATGGTTGCCAAAATTAGGGTCCCTTTTTGTGTCCCTATTAAAGTACGGCACCTATTATTTGGGGTACCCAAAAAGGGACCATAATTTTGACAACTACCCACATGACACCCAAAAGTTGCAAGCCTAAAACCCCGAAGCCCGACATGGACTCGATCCCATGGCCGGAATGCGCCCTCAAGATGATCCAAATTCCATGCGCAATGTTGTCCTGGAGTTGTCTCAATCTTGGTAGTCTACCTGCACTTACCAAAAGCAAAGGTGTTTGCGTTTCAACCCGGTGTTTCGGGATTTTCGCGAAGAGTCGGGGGGTTTTTGCATTCGACCCACTTGCGTTTCGTGAGGTGCTGCTCTACATCTCTTTGTGCACCAATCTGCTGCAGCCCTTCCGATGCCACACACACCCGAATGACAAAGCAACGCTGAAGTCATTCGACGCTGTCCTCTGCGATCTGGAGGGCGTGCATTGGAAGATGAGCTTCGCGGCCGAACGGGGCTTTTCACCACACATGTGCTCACGCCCAAACTGGACCACTAAACCGAAAAGCATCTAAGCTAACACCCCGTGCCCGTCCATGAACACACATGCAGTCACAGGCACACACACACACACACACACGCGCGCACACACCTCCTATATACAGCTGCATCATCGAAACAGTCACTCTAAGACCTCCCCCCTTCCAGTCCATGTCAACATCTAGACGTTTCTCCAGAGCTGAAGCAAGTCCGGGGTGAGCATGTGACATGGCTTTGCTTTTTATTGGGTTCAGGGTTTAGGGTTTACCGTAGGTCACGATGATTGTGGGTCGTAGACTGGCTAGACTTGAGTCCAGTGGCAAAAAGAGTTTACCGTAGGCCGCAGGTGTGGAGTTTTGGAGTGTTTTTGCAATATGCATGAGCAAAGGCACCCTTGCATGAAGCCCCACTTCTCTTTGCTGACTTGATCATAATCACAAAGGGAGCCCGAAACCTGAAACCCTAAACCCTAATCTGATGCCCAGAGTGCGAAGCTCGAAACCTTCACCAGTTCGTCACATGGGTGTTTCAGAAAATTGGGGGGTACCTTATTTGGGGTCCTTATTATAAGGGTCCTACTATTCAGGGTACTATATTAGGGTCCCCTATTTTCGGAAACTCCCACATGGGTAGTTTTCTCAGGAAACCTCCAGGAAGCATACTTAGGCGGTCGAGGGCCCCGTAATTCCTAGACCCTGAAAGCTGGAACCAGACCTTGCCTGAATCCGTGCCTGCTTTGCCCGTGCGCATGTCGAAACCCTCACATAATATGGGGGGTCGTAATGATTAGAATAGGGTTTTGGGGCATGTTGTATATACTATAACTAGAATAAGGAACCCTAGGAATATATATATATATATATAGATATATAGATATATATATATATATATATATAGGTAGTTATTTAGGCCCCGATATCACACCTTTCGAGGAAAGCCTTCCTGATCCGAGGCCTCGTAGCCGCTGGTGGGTTCCTTTTCCCGATCGGGTTCCTTGCGCTGTGTTTCTGGGTCATTCTCTGCGAATATCCCAAGAGAGTGGCGCGTTTGGATGCTCCCCGGCCCAAGCATCTGTGTCGGTTTAGGGTGCCAAATTCAGGGATTCGGGAAGTTTAGGGCCAGGGTTTGGGTCCCTTTGCCGGTTTATTAATGTCGCGTATAGCAATATATGGGCTCGTATGTATCTATGTTTGAATGTATGTATGTACTGCACGGACGGAGGAGTGTAAAGACTGGAGAGTGTTTCCAGCTAGGCTGGGCAGAGGATGGGATGAAAAGTCTCAACTGCCGATGTGCCAGTGTTGGCAGTTGAGCATTGAGGGGTTACTGTTCAATAGGGTTTTGGGCGTTCGTTTAGTACTCATATTGTACGTAATGTACCCCGGAACCCTATTCTAATTATTAGTCCCTTACACCATAGAACCCTACTATCGAACCCTTGGCTCCTTTAAAGGAACCCGGGAATCCTATTCTAATCATTATAATTAAGGCCCCTACATTGATTAAACCTCGCCGAACTTCGAGCCTTTTGAGCCCGAGCCTACAGCCGCTTGTCTTCGTATCAACATGGAAATTTCAATAAATTTGGGGGGGGGGTGTTTTGGGGGTCCTTCAAAATAAGTAATAAGGTTCCTACTATTTAGGGTACTATATTGGGGTCCCCTGTTCTCGGAAACTCCCAAAGCACAGCAGCAGCCAGTTC